TTTTTTAGTTGTGGATCAAAGAAAGCGGAAGCCAGATGCATGAGGAACCCAGCAATTACTTCACCCATGGTGAGAGTTTATCAGTTCCAGTCGGGGTGGATCTGAGATTTAGAAGGACCAAAAGCAATACTTTTGCCTGAGGTAGTTGGAGGGTTCCCACAAATTTTGCCAGTTGAGTACTGATGGTGCCATTTGTTCCTTCGACTGGTCCTGATATGAACTGATATGAACTGGGAAAATGCTATAGGACTGGCTAAAGAGCACAGACTTGCTGTAATATTTAACTAGTAAAATAGGTTTCCCAGTTGCTATGGAGTTCAGGAGGGGTTCCCCAGGTAGAGGTAAACTTCTCTAATAGTATTTTAGCCACTAAGAGGCCGTAGCTTATCTACATGGAAAGGCTTTGACCCAGTGGGTAAACAAACAAACCATGACTAAAACATATTTATACCCATGAGATAGGGGAAGTTGTATAAAATCCATCTGCCAAAACTCGAATGGTCTATTGGGCAATTTAAAGTGTTTGGGGGCAGTGCAGACAGTTTCCCAGGAATGTATTTTGGACAGATGGGACAAGAAAAGTAGACACTTTGTGCAGACTTATTAATATTTCCTCACCAGTATTGATTCATGAACGTTATTATTTTATCCACAGACCAATGGTTTAATGCATGTAAAGTTATCAGTAATGGGAATTTTAGAGTCTCTGGTAATACCAGATTATTTGGCCCAAACCAGAGTTCTCTCTTTTTACAGAACCAAGTTATTAGATTTCCAGTATTGTTTTTTCCTTTTCTGAGGCCAATTGTTGGGCACCTCTAGTCAATTTTTCTAGATTATTATTTGGGGGAAACACCACTTTGGACCATATCAGAGGTTTGATTGTTCGTCTTTTGAAAGCAGCATTCTTGGCAGAAGTATCAGTGGCATGGTTTCCTTTTGCCTCCAGGGAGTTGAGTTTGGAATGCCCAGGGACCTTAATAATAGCCAAAGCAGCTGGTAGGAGTATGGCATCTAATAAATTTTGGACACAAGAGCCATTTTAAATTTTATCCTCATTAGAAGTAAGGAAAACCTTGCTGTTTCCATAGCATTCCAAAGTCATGGGCAAGCCCAAAGGCATACTATCAGTATAAATGTTTGCAGTTTTGCCCTTAGCTAAAGTGGAAACCGAGTAAGAGCATATAATTCAGCCTACTGGGCCAAGGTAGCCAAAGGCAAAGGTGCTGCCTCAATAACTTCAAAAGGAGTTGCGATTGCATATCCAGCACAAAATTTACCATTTTAAACCTTTAAATAAGAACCATCAGTAAACCATGAAAACTCAGCCTTAGGGGAGTTTCCTGTAAATCATCACGAGGGGTCAAAATGTTATCTATCAAAGTCAAACAGTCATGAGGTGTATCGTCTGCAGAGGAGGGAAGACGGGTGGCAGAGTTAAAGCTATTACAGCAAGAAAGAGTTATGTGGGGTACAGTTAGCAAATGGATTTTTGTAGGAGGTGAGATAACTGGCTGAAAGGTGTTAAGTGTGATGAGAATTCAGGAGGGTTTCTACTGTATGGAGTACAAAGATCAAGATCGTTAGAGGGGATCCCATGACTGTTCTTCAGTGGCCTTAACTAAAAGGATGGGGCTGGAATGGCTCTGAGGCCAGGGGTATCCACATGCCACAGAGTCTACCTGCTGACTGTAGTACCCTATGGGGCAATGGTGATACTCATGTTTGGGGGTAAGTACTCCAAGAGTGTTTCCCTCCTCATATAGGAAGAGGAAATAGTGAAGTTGATGATTAGGGTGTCCAAGGAAAGAAGGATTATCAAGCTTTCCCTTAAGGTATTAAAAGCTAGGTCATCCTGATTTTCCCAAGTAATCGGGTCAGGTTTGGTGTTCCTTAGTAAGGCATAGAAAGGCTGGGTCATGAGAGAAAAGCTCAGAAACCAGTTCCCATAATAGCCAGCCAACCCAAGGAAACCTTGTAGTTGACATCCGATTTGGGGTTTTGGTAAGTTCCAGATGCCATGAAGCCTATCTGGATCAAGGTAAGCCCTTGTTCTGAGATCAGGTGCCTGAAATAACTTGGGTTGGAACAAACTGCAGTTTCTCCTCAGAAAGGTTATGCCCCTTTGAGGCTAAAAGCTTTAACAGGTGGATGCTGTCTTCCTGTGAGGAGACCTGAGAAGGGGAGCAGAGAAGCAAGTCTACATATTGCAATAAAATAGTCTCTAGGAAATTTTATATTATCTAAATCTGTTTTTAAGGTTTGTGAGAAGTAAGAACAACTCTCAGTACAACCCTAGTGCATTACTGCCCAGGTGTATTGCTGGTCTTCCCAAATAAAGGCAAATAGATATTGACTAGCTTTATCCACAGGGATGCTAAAGAAGACGCTACATAAATCAATCATGGTAAAAAAAAAATTTGCTTTCGATGGGTATGGAGGCTAATAAAATATGGGGATTAGGAACAATAGGGTGACAAGGGAAGACAACACTGTTTATGACTCAGAAGTGTTGGACCAATCTCCACCCTCCACCACTGGATGTCTTTGCAGGTAAAATAGGGATGTTGCAGGGCCTAGTACAGAAAATAACGAGGCCCTGGGTCTTTTAGTCTTCTATTATCAACTTAATGCCCTGGAGGGGCTCTTTATTTACATAGTATTGACTGATTCTGGGGAGAGGCTTTGAGGAATCTATTTGTACCCTAATGGGAGGGGCACTGGGGATTCTGAAAATATCAGTTAAAGATTTTGCCCATAAGGAGGGTGGTAGCTGATCCATTAGGGACAAATGATTAGTGTCCTTAGAATTAGCTCTAGTGCTGCCAGAGACAGAGCAAATAAAAGATGTTAAAGGGTCAAGTGATTCACCCAGTCAGCTATTTTGGCTGTTATCAAATTCTAGAATTATTTCCTTCTTTTAGGAGAAAGAAATTCCAGGATGATATTTTTCTAAGAAATCTTGGCCCAATAAGTGAATGGGGCAGAGGAACTAAGGAGAAAGGGGTGATTATCTCTTAGAGGGCTTAAACAAAAGGGGATGGGTTTAGTAACAGAAATCTGTTGAGATTTATGTGAGATCCCCACTATTTGAGCCATTTTAGTATTCCAAGATAGGGACTGTTTAATAACAGTGGGGTTGAGCACCAAGGGTGCAGCTCCAGTTCAATAAGGACAGAAAGAGATTCATTCCTAACCTGGAAAGTAGTTTCTCCAAGTCAATTAAGGGGGAAAATTGAGAGGAAAAACCTGTAATTCCTCGCAGTCCCATCACTGGGAGTTAAGAGAGCACGGGAAAGGCTGGTTAGAGGGTTGAAGGTACCTGGAGTGCTTAAGCTTCTAAGTCTTTCTTCCAGTGTCCTGGCTTTTTGCAATAATGGCAAAGACTAGGAAGGTTTTGTTTTTCTTTACAAGCCTCCATTTGCTGGAGTTGAAAATTGAGGATTTTAGTGGTCTTCCTTTTAGCTGAATCATCTAGGGTGTGGGCAAGCTAGTTTGCTAAATTAACTAAATCTGGAATGGACATTGTTTCTCATTCCATCCTGGTCCTTTCAACTAGAAGAGAAAGATCCTGGTTCAGCCCGTTACTGAACACGGAGTTAAAGGCTACCCAAGTGGGTTCAACATTCAAAGGACGACCAGAATTTTCTTTAAAGACAATTTACAGCCAGGTATGATAGTCACACACAGGCTCACTGGGCTTCTGGGTATAAGCCTGAACTTTATTCAATCGACTGGCTTTGGGAAAGCCCTAGGAATTGCCAAATGGAGTCACCTGGTGATTCCCTGAGCCTCATCGTATGATAAAACAGCAACAGCAAGGGTTTGTCTCCAGGCCTTGGGACCATCCCAATTAGTAGTTTCATCCAGTGTTGGGCCTGGCCTTCGCCAACAAGTGAACTAGCTGATATAAGTCAAGAGAAACCAGAAACCAAAAGTAAGTTTGAATGACTATATTACATTCCTCAGCAATCCTGTGGGGATCCTCACTTCCTCTGAGAAAAAATTTTGACTATGGCACATAGTTCAGCTTTAGTCCAGGGAACATAAGAAATTAAGGGGTTTAGCATTTGGATCCTCAGAGGGTCTGATTTTAAAGGGGCAGCTTTTAATAGGTTCAGGAGAGGGGGAGAAAGGGAGAGTTTCAGAGAAAAAGGGAAGTTCAGTGAGAGAATTAGAATGAGGAAACAAAGGTATAGAGGAGGCGGATGGTGCAGAAGGAAAAGAAGAATATGTTGCTGAAGACAAAGAGGAGGAGTAAAAGAGGCCTCAGAAGACTTTTTCATTTTTTTGCAATTGTTTGGTTGCCTTAGTTAATTTAGAAATGATAGTTTGTAAAGAGGCAATTTTAGAGTATTGAATGCATTTGGAAGCCTCCAGGTACCAATTAAAATACACATCTTATTCAGTTTGTTTAATTTTAGAGCCATGGTCTTCTATTTAGTTCTGAGAAAAACAAGTTTGAAGAGGTCGAAAGTTTCCAAAAGTGACCCCTGGAGTTATAAACTATTTTTGGTTAAGTTGGTCCACTTAGTTAAAAATATGCAAAAGAAAGGACCATAGTTTTTGTTTTGTTTTGTTTTGTTTTTTCTGTATGCGGGCCTCTCACTGTTGTGGCCTCTCCTGTTGCGGAGCACAGGCTCCGGACGCGCAGGCCCAGCGGCCATGGCTCATGGGCCCGGCCGCTCCGCAGCATGTGGGATCTTCCTGGACCAGGGCACGAACCTGTGTCCCCTGCATCGGCAGGCGGACTCTCAACCACTGCGCCACCAGGGAAGCCTAGGACCATAGTTTTTGAACATAAAATCAGCCGTGGTCCCAGAAGGAGGACTCTTGAGAGAATTTAGAGAATTGGGATCCCATACTTCAAAACCAGAGGTCCAGAAAACAAATGAGTACTCACCAAAAAGGCAATGACTTCACAAAAACAAAAACAGATCCCAAATAAAGTTGGAGAGCTCAATCAAAAGGAGAGAGCTTGAATCTGAAAGGAGACTTACCGAACCAAATGGAAGTGGGGAGCACAAGGGGATCAAGTGGGTACCGTGCATGATTCCAGGGATCATTAATTCTTCAGGGGTTCGTCTTCGGATCCCGCTTCTGACACCAAGTAATGTTAACCTTTAAAATAAAAAGGTAACGGTTTAGCCAGCAAAATCAAGTTTATTTGGGAATAGCACGTGATTGCAATTTGGGCCATGGAAACTGGCAAACCACAGTTTGGGGAACAAAGGAAGGAGTGCTCTTTTATAGAGGAAAATAGGAAGGTGGGAGGGGTTGTTTGTTTAAAAGCTCACTGGAGGAGAGAGATTTCAGGGTTGTAGCAGTTTCTCACCAGCTGGGTTATTTCTAGGCAAGAAGAAAATCTTCCTTCTTCCTGCTGTAAATTAAGCTTCTTCTGGCTGGGATGTGTAAACTAAGCTGTGATGAGAGGTATGTGTGTAAAAGCTCCCCCTTAGGGCTTCCCAACTCCATTTTGAATGAGGTTTTCCTTTATTCATTTTCAAAATATATATATATATCAAGTCATTATGCTGTACACCTTAAACTTATACAGTACTATATGTCAATTATATCAATAAAACTGGAAAAAAGATCAAAATAAAAGTATTCATATCTGGGACTTCCCTGGTGGTCCAGTGGTTAAGACTGTGCCTTCCAATGCAGGGCGTGCAGGTTTGATCCCTGATCAGGGAGCTAAGATCCCACATACCTCGTGGCCAAAAAACCAAAACATAAAACAGAAGCAATATTGTAACAAATTCAATAAAGACTTTAAAAATGGTCCACACCAAAAAAAAAAAATTCATATCTGCCAAGAAGTACTAAGTCCCTCAAAACCTTATTTTATTCATTATCAAATGCAACTTGGTTGGGTCTTTAGTAGTTTGGGATTTCTGTCAACTCAAACACAATATTCTACGCATACATTTTTTTTCATTTCCAAATTTCACCTTCCGTGCTGTAAGGGTTACTAGTGATGCAAAAAAAACAAACAAGAAATACATTAAGGTAAATGAGGTAGTGAAAGAGAGGTCAACATGGCAGGAGAAGTATCAATAGAAAGGGGATTTGAGCCTACTGACCCCACTGGTGGCCACGACATATATAAGAAGTCAATCATTTTGAGCACACCTGGATAGGAGTCTACTATGTGTTGCTGGGGGGTCACATACACATCACCTGATGGCTGAGGCAGTGTGAATTGAATCATAAAAGCCTACATTAAGGAGTGTTGGTCAAATAGAACCAATCCTGACATCCCTAAGCATCTTCCAGATGTAGAAGCATTTCCAAAGAAGACAATTGTTTTACAAAGATCTGGCAACAAATATTTTCTTGCCTGTAAATTTTATTTGAAAATAACAAAGGTAAAAATAAGTACGTTTTCATACCCTTTACACTCACTTGACTGAAAATAAAATTTCAAACCCACTACAGCCTGGAGGCTATCACCACATATCCTGGTCAGTCAACCTGGAGTTGCCTCAACTTCCCTAGTATCACAACCATCCACATTCATACTAACACGTGGCTAGTGATGCAGCTTCATCAGATATCCCCGATTGAATCTATTACACGGAGTTATTACCTTCCAGGAAGAATCAAGCCATGAGGAAACTGGACGAAGGTCAAGCATGGGAAAAGGTGGAGTATGGAAAGTACTGGGAGGCTAGGTATATAAAATGGGCTGGGCTGGCAAGATAATTTCATGGGAGACCCTGAAAACACAAAGCAGCAAAAAGGTTAGGGTGAACTTCTAGGAGAAATTTTTCAAAACCAAAAAAAATATGTTAAAGGGGTCAAAGAGAAAGTCAAACTTCACCTAACTCACAAGTCTACCTCCAGAAAAATCTACTCTTCCAGGCTTAGTGGCTGATAACTACAGTAGTCGGGGAGAGGTGCAGGGACTCAGAGACCAGAAGTACAAAATTACCACTTTGCGTACTCTAACATACCTTTCTTTCTCTCACGTCAGCTAACACTCACCTAAAAGGCACAGCACAAAATCGATACTCACTGGTGGGCTGATTTAAAACAGGCAAAGAGGGCTTCCCTGGTGGCGCAGTGGTTGAGAGTCCGCCTGCCGATTCAGGTGACATGGGTTCATGCCCTGGTCCGGGAAGATCCCACATGCCGCGGAGCGGCTGGGCCGGTGAGCCATGGCCGCGGAGCCTGCGCGTCCGGAGCCTGTGCTCCACAACGGGAGAGGCCACAACAGTGAGAGGCCCGCATACCGCAAAAAACCCCAAAACAAAACAAAAATAAAACAGGCAGAGAACGGCTCTGTTACACCTCTCTTATCAGAGGTGGTCACTGTTGCCCCCAGGTTTTCCTGCGTTCCCTCAGGATCAGTGCCAACCTCTCACCAAAAGGTAACCTTCCCACATCCGGGTCCTCCTCAAGGGCCCTGTTCTCAGCCATCACAGAATCTCAGGGTCCTGTAGGTGCAGGAAGGTGGTGCACACTCGTTTCTTTGGAGAGGATTTGGCAGGGGGGTGGGGGTAAATGAGGTAATGGTCGAGGTCTTTGGGGATTGGGTAGGGCAACTGCAGGCCAACTGCTCGTTTGCCCTGTCCGCACCCAACCAGGGGAGAAAGAGCCATGGCTCTGCCTGGCGCAATCCAGGGGCTGCACGTGCTGAGTCCTGCGGAAGCCACCCTCGATTAGGCCGCACCGTTCCCCACCGGGGGGTGTGGGTAAGGAACACGGATGAGTCAGAGGCTCTCACCTCAGCAAAGTCTCCTTGGCCCTGCACTTGTCCACCACCCAGTGCACAGGAGAGAACGCCCTGGCCGGGAGCGGCGCTAGGACAATCAGTCCTCGAAGGAGCGCTTGACGTGGCCTACAGAGGGCGCCGGGGGGCGGGGCAGGGCCAGGGGCGATGCAAGGGGCGGGGCCCAGGGCCTGGGGCAGCCGAAGAGCCCGTTTCGCCCTGGACTGGGAGTCCAGTCCTCTTTCTCCACCTTCCGTCCGGCTTCCAGTTCCTACGGGTCCCAGAGCTCGTGGGCTGGCTTCTTCCGGAACCTCCTAAGAGCCAACCGCCGCCCCTGCCCGCCTCCCCGCAACCCGCCGCCCCGCAAGAATGTATTACCTAATGCCACGGTCACGGTCGCCGTCACAGGCACCCTCAACCCCACCCCTGGCCTGCCTGCGGTCCCTTGCTCTCCTTCACCCGCACCTGCACGCAAGCTCCCCCGGGCCGCAGGTGCGGATGACGGCGTAATTCTACGCCCAGCAGAGGCCCGCCAACTCTGGGGAGGGGAAGAGGAGGCGTGGTCGCCTGCGGTTCCCAGGCTGAAGTCCCAGGTGCGTCCGAACCCCCGAGGCACCGCTGGGCGTGGAGCTGATGATTGGCCCTGGAGGCTAGGCCTCAGCGGTCCTAGCCAAGTTGCATCTTTGGCTTTCCCCCTCCAAGTCCCAGGAAGGGGTGGGATTCTCACTTTGGGGTCCCGCTCATATTGCACCACCGATTCTCCACCTCTCTGCAAAGAACTTCTCGTTCAGAATCCCTGAAGGCTTTAGAAGCACAGCTGTTGATTCCGTTGGATGATGAGTCTCCCTGCTTTTTAAAAAGACCTGGGAGGGGGGGAATCAGCTGAATTTTCTTGAATAGTTATGCTTAAACTTGAGGCAAGACTCGAATGTCACTCAATGTCTGCAAGGTAGAGGCCTTGTATGGGCCCACATGTCATCCACCTAGTGTTGAGACTCTACTTTAGAACATCTTCCACTTTGTGGATTTGTTTCAGTTGAAACTCATTTCCATAGAACTTAAGTTGCTATTTATTACTGTCATGACACCCAACGGTCCATAGATAGGGCCCTCCCTGAGGAAGGAAGCCCGTGATTTCTATGCAGGTTGGGTTGAACAGTTTAGCAGTACAAAGCTCGTTTCCTGCCTGCCCTGAGGGAGGGTCAGTCTGATAGCAACCAAGTCAGTTGACTTCCTAACCAAGTGTGCCCTCCTTTTCTTTTTCCAGATTGTGCCTTTTTAGCCAAGAAGCATGGAGGTAATTCATGGCAGGCCCTACTGCTGCAGGGAGCTTGAAGGAGCTGACATACCATCAGACACCTTTTACTCTAATGAATTGCATACCCCACTACAAACAGCTGCTCGCCCAACTGCCTCAGAGGACAGGTAAAACAAAAACCAGAGAAAGCAAACAACTAAGAAGGGTTTTAATATATTAGTGTATTTTTGTTATGTGAGAAAAAACATTTAAGGTTATGGGCCTCTTCTGTTTATCACATCATAGGGAAGGCATAACCTGACAATTAACTAAAAACCTTGAAGTGTCCACATCTGTTAGGAACTTGGCAAGAAGTAAAAAGTTAGTGTGTATTTTTAAAAGGCAAACATCAAATTCATCTACCACATTCTAGAACTCTAGAATGATCAGTTCCTTCATTTGTAAGTTAATGTTTTAATCAAACTTTTTTTATTTTATAAAGAGTGGTAGAGTGGGTTCTTACCATCTGCTAATATCACCTGCTCAGAAATACTCCTAGAATCTGGTATTCAGAGTTGCTATCTAAACTTCTGCTTTACCAAATTTCCTGTAAAACATTAATTGCAGATTACGCTTAAAATTGCATCTAACATACACTGAGTGATTGCTGTGTGTTGGCACTGTACCAAATGCTTTTATGTAGTAATTCTTTTAATCCTCACAACAGCCCTATAAGTACTATTCTTACCCCCATTTTACATATGGAGGAAAAGGTACAAACAAGTAATTTTCCAAGATCTTAGTGCCAGCTTTTTTGTCTGTATTTATTTGAATCATTTTAAGAAAAAAAAAAATCTCAAAATCCTTGGTGAAAAATGCCTGTGTAATTGTTTTCTTGCTTTTGCTTGTTGATCTGTTTTATAATTTCACTTGGTCAAATCTCTCATCTAAGAAGTCTTTCTCACTTAAGAAAGTGGTCAAAAGGTACGAACACCCAGTTATGAAATAAATAAGTTATGGGGAGGTAACGTACAGCATGGTGACTATAGTTAATAATACTGCATTGTATATTTGAGAGTTGCTAAGAGAAAAGATCTTAAAAGTTCTCATCATTAGAAAAAACTCTGTAACTGTATAGTGATGGATGGACTTATTGTGATCATTTTG